GGACCATGAGGCGTAGTATATGAAGCAGGCACCAGAATCTTAGCATGGTCCAGTAATATCGAGAGATGGGAACCCCCGAGATACCTCAAGGTACCATGGAAGGTGCTGGTCATTTACAGTAGGTTGTTCTTCTTGAAGGATGAGAAGGGGATGAAGATGGGTGGTGGTGCCTCCTGATTTATTTTTGTCAGCCAAGGCATTCCCCGTCCAGTCCAATCCAGTACCGATCCCAGCCGTCCAGTGCCAGTCTTAGGATTTTTTTTTCTTTCCTCCTTTGACCCTCCAACCGCAGTCGCCGCAGTCGCCGCCGCACACACCTCACACACCTGGACTTAGTCTATGTACCCGGGGAAAGGGCACCATCTCAGTCAATATTTATTTACCTCAAGGTTGGGGTACTCTGTACTTCGTCTTCGTACCTTCTTTTGAAGGAGCCCGCGCCCGAATCCCCGTTCCACGTCCACGTCCCACCCGACAGGCCCCACGATCAAATATCCACACCCTGCACCTGTATTCCCCATTACAACTCACCAACGCTCACGCAACACGCCCTCGCCTTGCCTCGCCTGCCTCGCCCTCCCACCCTACCCGCCTCTCGCCGCTGACTTCCGACTTCTTCCCGTTTACACTCTCCCATGTTCACGGTTTCTTCTCTTTTTCCACTGCCCCTCGTTGAAAAAGAAAGTCGGCCTCAACATCCCCCACGCCAATACGACAACAACAATAACCTACGTTGAAGCGCAGACCGCTTCACCTTTCAAACTCCCTTCTTCAGACGACACAGCGACAGATCGGCCCCTAGCTCCTTCCCGAACCCCCCTCTTTCTCTGGCCGTGACGTACGATTCAATAAACCGGTCGACCGAAAATTTTACGACTTCTCCTCCATCGGCCTTGACGAAGACGCCTCGACTTCTTCTACGGCCGCATATCAGTTTCCAACTTCCTCAGGCAATCTGTGAGCGGACCAACAGCACTGTACAGAGGCGGCGTTACCAACGCTTGTCCTCTCTGCTGCGGGCTGCTACAAATATACCACCCGATTGCACACTTGTCGCGCCAAACCCAGCTGCAAATTCCATTTCTCTCAGCCGATCCCGAAAATGAAGGGCCGCCCCATCGACCAGCTCGTTTATGAGCACATGTTTCCCAAGCCTCGCGCGAGCGACCCTCAAAATTTCCATGCCCTCTTGCAGCGCAGCCTGATTTTGGAGGTTCGTCAAGAGGTCCACTCCTTCTACGGCCATCTCGACACCCAAGAAGCCAAGTACCCGGGCTTAGATTACTGCAACCCCATCCACCGTATCCGTCTGAGTCGTTGGACCTGGCACCGCCGCTTATTCCGAGCGTTTGACAACCTGCATCTGACCCCTAACGAGATTGCGGGTCTGACAAAGTGGGAGGGCACAAGATGGGCCAAGGAGCGCTACGAGAAGGAGCAAGGCATTTCCATAAGAGACACTGCCGGCGATGGATTCCCCGACTGGATTGAGCCAGAGGACCGTCCAGCGGGCCCAGTTCGGAATCCCCGATCAAGGTCTGTGGATACAGATGACGCCACTGATCCTGGAGACGAGGACATGGATGGCGAAGAGAGTGACGAGGAGCTTGAGAGCGTCGGTGTTGCTCTGAATCAGCGATTGAGGGAGAGGGCAGCTCGCCGAGAGGCTGGAGACATGTCTACCGTCTTGGATGAGGAATGGGAGCAGTGGCTGAAGAACGTCATTGAGAGTGGCGAGCTGCCATATCTCTCAAACGACGATATCTCACCATCAAGAGCTGATCCGGCTGCCGTTGCAGTTGTCCCGCAAGCGCTCTTCCCCCCTCGCATGCTGAGCGCTGCCCGCGCTGGTCAGTGGCAAGATATACCCGACTTCCTCCACGACATTATTCGCCGTACGCTTGAGAACCAGAACTCGAGCAGTGGCGAGGAGACTGCAGCACCTCCTCGCTTGCCTTCTGTTTCAAGTCGCAATGCAGCGCGGGAACGTAGAGGCACTGACGAACATCACATTGGCGGAATTACAAACTGGAGACGTACATATTCGGATCTGCGACTCCCTGTCGGCGACAGCGCAGCTAGCCCAAATTTGCAGAGGACGGCACAGGCACCCGGCGCCTAGGAAGTTTCGGCGCCTGAAGCTCCCTCTCGTGGGCCTGAGACATTCGTTGACGAAATGAATGTGATAAGCGGGGAAGGACTATCTCGAACTGTGCATGAGATTATGGTGCCGACCAGACGCCAACCGACAATAGATCGACCGATTATTAACCCGCTGATCAGCGAGTTTGATGTCGATGCTTACCACGCTTTATGGGCCAGCCCTTACCCTTCAACTTTCATATACTCCGACCCAAGCACTTGGAGCCAAATATGGAACTGGGCCCCGTTGTCGACCGGAGAAGACCTGAGATTTCCGTAGTCGCGGCAACGGGTATATCGCTTCATTTCTTCAAGCGCCTCGATCCGCATCTTCAGTCGAAGAGGCGATTTCTTTAGTCTGAATCGAATTTTTCAATACTAGAGTTCCTTGAGTTTTTTGGCAAAAGGAGGATCGCCCCAACAAGGCGACAACCCACTACACATCACTCGGTTATTCCCCCATACGGCGTTGGAAGGATTGCTCTTATGCTTCTGTGGGATTGCAAGGGATTGGATGAGCGAGCACAAGAAATTATGAGGAAACGAGAACTCTCTGCATTTCAAGGCCCGCTTCCAGGGAGGCCGTTTGTATCTAACTAAGAAACCTTAGTTATAAAAGTGCTAATTTTTGGCGATAACATTAACAATCCCCTGATTTATGCAATGTGCCATGTCAGTAAAAGTATCATGCTTGTGAAGATGATTCAAATACGATTTAGGGATGCGACTTTTGGTAAAATTTCAATTCAGTCGTTGGCTTGACACTAGCCTCGCGGCCTTTCCTAAACGCCACGACCTGACCCGACTAGAAGCACACTGCTGGTAATCTTCCGGAAAGCTCTATCTGATAGTCCCTTGTCACATAGAGAAATTACAGTTGCCACCCAACGCCAACTCCTTGAAGCTTCAAACCCGCCCCATTCCGGTATTTTCTTTTCGTTGCACTTACTTCGTGACCAACCATGCCTACGACACACGGCGCACCCTACGCGACCGCCGCCTCAATCCTCCCGAAGGATTTTCGGTAACCTTTGGGGTTTCTTGCTGCGGCGTCATATGCCTTGGATCGCCCTTCCCGGGCCTCATCGAGCCCTTCTACGGCTCGAGGTGAGACCATTCGGGTATGGCCTTGATCTGCTGCCACATGTATTTCTCCAGCTTGTTGGCGCTCTTCGCATACGGCGTAGACTCGTTATTGTACTTGCGACAGTTGTCGAAGACGAGCTTGGCATCCCTGATAAAGTCCTCTGGCGTTGCATATTGATCTGCTTCGAGTTTGGTCTCCATCGTACTAAGATCCATGGGTTCCTTGATAACTTCGTAGTAATCGGCGACATCATCCTTGTTAACGGGCACGAGGAAGGGCCAGGCAGACTGGTGATTCTGCAGGTCGTTGAGGAGGTGAAGAAGCTGGTTGTAGTTGGGACCATGGCGGGGCTGGCGGGCGAGCTCGTCCATATCGGGCGACCAGCCTGATGCGCGGATGGCGCTGATGGTGAGCGGGTCGATTGGCTTGGCGCCGGACTTCCATTCTTTTGGCGGAGCGTGGACAATGTGCGATTTTGAGTAGGCGCGGATCTTGGCCTGAACGCACTCCTTTTGCTTCAAGAGCATGCGACCCATTTCGAGATATCGGATGCGGGGCAGCATCGAACACTGCATGATCGTACCGCCTTCGTAATCCTTGATGTAACCCATCCAGACACTCTTATCCAGCGTGATCTCTTTGGTGAAGCCTTGTTTTTTGAAGTATCCGATGGCATAGTTATCAGCATACGTGAGGAAGTGCATCACGTCGCTGGTCGCCTTGACATAGTCCTTCAGGTGGGACATGAGATGCGCGCCGTATCCCTTCACCTGCTGATCAGAACTAATGGCGCAGAACACGATTTCAGCGAACTGGCGGCCCTTGAAGGGGCGGTAGGTGATGCCGCCGACGACCTCGAGGGGCTTCTTGACGATCGCGATGGACAAGTGGGTCCGGTCGTAGACGAGTCGCGCGATGTAGTCTTTCGGCATCTTGGGGAGCTGCTTTTGAAAGATGCATTTGAGACCGGTGAGGATGATGAGGGATTCTCGCTCGTTGTCGTTGTTAACTACCCGGAACTCGATCTCGCCGGTGCGCTCTTCGATGACGGCGGGCTGTCGCAAACCATGGTCAGCTTCAGCGTGTTCATGTGGAGGACGCGCATGGAGAGCGCGTAGCGAGCATCAACCGCGCGATGCTCGCGACGAAGTTTTGGAAATAGAACTTACCTTTTCAGGGAAGGGGATGGGCTTCATCGCCGGCTTCTTTTCTGGTTCGGCCGACTCATTGTGCTTGACCCGTTTATTCGCGATCGGGGAGGACGGCTCCTCCTCAGCCTTGCGCTTCGTGGCTGCGGGACGATGTTAGCACGTGCCTAAGGCCTCAAGTTTCATAGCGAATATGCGACTTACTCTCTTCCTTCATTTTGACCTCGATCGCGAGCCTTCGCAGGCCTATTTCGATGAACCTTGTCGATGGATGATGTCGAGGTGGTTCCTGGACGGTTGATGACATGCCGCGCTAGGCCCTGCCGTTTCTCCGTTGCCGGATGGCGCCAAGTGGGTCAATGCACAAGGGGAAAGTGGGATGGAGCTAAGCCCTTTCTGGTTCAGGCCACAATTCACGGTGGGACCCTTTGAAGCTCAGAACACGTTTGGGGGAAGCTACAACCCGCGCTTCATGATCTCCCATTGACAGCATTCTCCAGATACATCTGGAAATTCACGACTCTGTGCAAGCCCTCTTCAACGGTCCGGACCACCTCCTGCGACATCGACGCAACCGACTCAGACACGAAAGAACAATCAATTGTCTTTTCCTCGATCAGCAGATGGACTCCTCGTTGCTTGAGGTCTGGCAAGCTGCTGCTAGCACGCCGTTCCAACCCGCCGTTGCCAAGGATTCCCAATTCTTCATTGCGTTCCTTCTTCTCCTCATTGGTGTTGCTATCACTGGTTTCTTCGCTCTGAGTAAGCTTTGTTCGAGCACCTTCATTGAAATACGTCGCCTAATTCTTCAATGCAGACCGTTCCTTCATCAACGTCCCAGCGCTCGGCGTGCCTGCCTCAGCTGCAATTGCGTAAGCCAGACGGCCTCCATTCTCCAGTCGAGATTCTGTACTAATATCAACTTTAGATTCGGCACGGTTTACATGTTCTGCGCGGTCGGAGTCTACGTCTAAGATACCCCAAGAAGCTTTTCAAGTCGGCGGCGACCTTGTACTTTAGAAAACAACCAAGAACTTCCATTTCACCAATCTCTCTATATCGAGTGACTTTCCACATACACAGATCTGCCGCGCCAGTAGAAGTCATGGCGGCTGCCCTTCCCCAACCCAGTGCGGTACCGCAGCCGATGTTCCGTGCTGTGGCTAGCTCGACGAGACCGCTATATCAGTTGCTGAGGACGATCAGCTTCTCCAACAAGGTCCATGTTCAACTCCAGGAAGATGGCATCAGGTTTGCCGCGGATCTTTCTAGAGTTATGCAAGGCAAGTTTGACGACCAAGATTTGTTGCGGGCAGGATGTCTGACCATCGTCCAGGTACTGCCTTCCTCGACAAGAAACTCTTCACGTCCTACTCTCTGAATCTTGCGGAGGATGAGCCATTGCCCAACTTTCAAATCACACTCCCAGCCCTTCTCGAGACGCTTCAAATTTTCGGTGCGGTAGACATCGCAACACGCACACAAAAGGCTGAGCAGGATTCGTACCGCAGCAATCTCCGCAATTACCGACCAGATGCGTTTAGTAACCAGACTCTGGGAATTGGCGGGACTTGTAGCCTGGTATATACCGAAGAGGGCGGCCAATTCAACATTATCATCGAGGAAAGCGGGGTCAAGACTACGGCCAGCCTCACAACCTATCTGCCGGAAATCCCAGAAGAGATACCCTTTGACCGGGAAAACCTGTCTTTCAAAATCATCATGCAGGCGCGCTACCTTCTTGACGCCTTGGCCGAACTTGCACCCACCGGCCCCAGCCGCCTAACCATATCAGCCTCGAAAAATCAACCCTACCTTTCCCTTTCCGGTGCTGGCGACCTGGGGTCATCCAGTGTGGACTTCGCCAAAGGCCGCGAGCTGCTGGAGACCTTTTCGATTCAGGATCGATGGACCCAGTCCTACAAATTCGATCTGATCAAGTCTTCCAGCGAGGCGATGCGGATCGCTAGCAAAATTAGCTTCCGCGGCGATGCCCAAGGCGTTCTGAGCTTACAATTCATGGTTGAAGTGGAGGGCGGCGGTGTCAGCTTTTTGGACTTTCGATTTGTGCCATTCATCACGCACGAGGACGATGAGGATGAAGAGGGACAGGATGAGAATGAGTAATTCAAGGCAACGTGGTACCCTGTCCTAACTGCCCTAGCACATAGATGAATGATAATGGAATTTCCTCAGGGTTACTGGTATCGCAACGAGTTCGAGTTTTCCGTTGCTATCTCTAGCTTTTCGCATACCTTCCGCTTGCGTCAACTTTGACAATAGGCCGTGCTGCATTCCCGAAGCTAGGGCGAACAATGTGCGGCGCTAGCCTTTCCTTGAAGAATTTGGCTTCCAGTCTGCATATACGCCATGTGCGCCTCCCTTGAGAATGACAGCTCGGCTGTTGACCCACGGTCTTCACGCCGGCCTGCGGCCAACAGCATCGATCGCGGGAGCTCTATGGCTCTTGCCTTTGGTAGAGGCAGCAGGTGGCCTATCCTGCGGATGTGATGGCTCTTGAGAGAACATGACGCGCTTGGTGTCTAGTGAACGTCCATTCCTCTCGCAGCATTCCAGCCATCGGCCAAGCCACCGTGGAGCCGGACAGCGGAAACTGGCAAGACTGGTCCCAGCAGGTCGGGGCTTACACAATGGGCCGGCCGAGGCAGAAATATGGCCGTGAGGAATTTGTTCGCAAACGGCAAGGGCGTTGACGGGGCGTTGCGACGGACTTGTTGATGTCTCAGTCGGGCTGAGGTATGCGCAGAGGCTGCGCGGACTGCGCGGGGGCATGCGTGGGCATGTTGGCTGGAATCTTTGTCGTTCCTGATCCCATCATGGGCGTTGTCAGTCAGCGTGTGTGTGTTGACAGCGGCCACATTTTGCCCACGTCGCCCTCCCCGCTCTCTCTTCCCACCCGGTAGATATATCTCTCGTCCGCTTGCGGAAGCATCCTGCTCCGCCCCTGCCTTTTGCGGACGTACCATCGTGAACCGGTCCTGAACTAAATATCCTATCCTTCGACTTGTGGTGGATATAGCTCCATCTTATTATTCTCTACTGCGCTTTTTTCAACTTTCCTTTGAACGCCTTTCGAAAATCCCACCATCCTCTCGGCTCTGATCTATCGTGTCCATCTGACAATTCGATCCTATCGCGTGGCTGCTCTTTTGTTCGCCATCACCAATCTCAGACTCATCTCTTTGCTCTCGTGTCTTTAAAACCTCGTGGTCCAACCCGCCCATCCATCTCGATTTCCGTTCTCAGCAGCACAACGCTCTCAACGTCTTTCTAACAATCAAAAACTCAAACAATAGTCCTTGTCGACTACATTCTCCCACCTCCTTCAATGAACACCCCTGGATCCTTCGGAATCGTCGATTACTCATTCCCAATGTGGTCCAAGAAGCACGTCGGCTCCTGGCTCGATGCCTTCAAGCCCGGTCGCCGCTCCTCCACCTCTTCTTCCTCTACTGCCTCTTCATCGGCCCCGTCCTCGCCTCGGTCCGCCACCTTCTCCCTGTCCTCGCGCATGGGCTCCAACAGCCGGAGCGGCTCCTTGGCCTCTTTGACATCGATGGGTACCATGGAGGAGCAAGAGTCCCTCATGGGTGACCAGCCGAAGCAGGCCGCTTACGTGCCTCGCCACGCGGCCAAGTCGTTCATGAAGACGACTACCTCCAAGGAGATTCGCAAGCAAAGCGAGATCATGTGAAGAATCACTGATCTCGGATACCCGATGAAACGAAAAACAAAAATCCAAAAATACAACATTCGATACCCGGAAAGTTACCATTCTTCGACTCGGCCTATTCAAGAGGCACCAACCAAATCGTCAGAATACGACGACCAAAGAGTCCATCGAAATGATAGACTATACCACCTCACTACCACCTTCTTCTCTTGCGTCAAACAACATGATCTACTCAATGATTATTATTTTGAAGGATTTTTCGACGCACTCTCATGCAGTCATTATCAACGGCGCTTGCTCGCTTTTGCCACTTGGCAAGGATAGAAAGATTTGGGCGGTTGGAAGACGTCCAGGAATAGGCTACGAGATGAGCCTATATTCTCTTTTGTAGAAGAAATTATCACCTACCAGGCGAAAAAGGCCAACACAAGGGCCGCAGGGTCGGGATGAGGTTAGAAGGATGAGATGCTGGCGACGCAACATCGCGCAACTAATAGCAAGATTTGGACTCGGCTGCCCGAGCCAATCAGATTAATACCCAATACCTTTACACCAAAGCCCTTCCAATGTGACTCTCTTTTCCCGTGCTTACATACATACCACCCGTATATGCTTGCAACAACTCAACTGAGAGTCAGATTTGGAAGCGGCTCGTGAATCCGACGCTGACAGGCCGAAAGAGACGAGCATCTAATTGGAGTCGTACCTTAAATTGGCATTGGGCAAAGGCAGGCCCTCTCCACCGCCGCTGCCGGGCCTCATCGTGCTCTTGTGCGCGTCGATCTGTAATACTGTACGTCCGTACGCAGTCTCCACCTTAAAAAACATTCTATTACTTCGATTGCGGACCTTTTCTCGGCAGGATCGGATCTAGGAGGTAGCCCAAAGACTAGAGAGTGTCCTGAGCTGCTGAGCACAATCGCCTGACGCCAAGTTGGGGGTGAGGCTTTGTGCGCGTTTACGTCCGTACGGACTTTTGGGAACTCCATAGTCCACGGGCCAGACGCACTGAACATAGCAAAAGGATTAAAGGGAAATCCATGGTAAACACGGACGGGACGGCAGACAATAGATATGGGGTTTACCAGCCAGGGTGGAGGACATGGGATCAGAAACCACCGAGACCGACAGCATTTCTACATGAAATAGAAAAAGACTCGAAAGAAAAAGCAAGACTGCCCCCAGAAAGTTGGAGAGAACGAACCACGATGTCTCAGCTCCCACTGTAAGTGTAATGCGAACCGCGAACCTCGAGGGGCATTCAATGTAACGCGGGCGGGTGGCGGGTTGGCGGCAGGGGGTTCAGAAGGACAGGGGTTTTTTCTTGCAGCAGGAGGGCAGAAGCTGCCGGCTCAAGGTGCCATTCATGAGGTCGGAAATAGAACGGCTAGCCTTCTAAGGCTGTCCTGTCTTGGCCTTGGCCTGGTAGAGTTTAGGTGTATTACTTGGTTTCTGACTCTCAACGGTCTTGTCGGCACGGTCATTGAAGGCCTGTTTTTCCAGAAGTGAAGTCAAAAAATGAAGAAGTGACTAGAGTCATCGGAGATTTGAAGTTGTGCGGCAATCGCGCCTGGGGGAAACAGCAGAGATCAAGTGAGGCATGGGGGTTTCAGTGGCCTTGAAATGAGTAGAGGAAAAGATCAAAATGTTTTCTTTGTTTGAAGCTGTGGTACTAGTTGGTTGACGAGAGTGGAAATAGGCAGTTGGCTCGCCTGATTCTTCTCAGAACAGCCAGGTTTTCCAACAACAGCTTTGAGGATTCAAGACCAACGGCAGCCCTCCGCAGCCTCCACGGCCCCCAAACCAAGTTGCTAGGTCAGGGCGCAAATATGAGATCCTGCAAGGGCCAGGAAGGTTAATGGTGTCTCTGTGTCTCTTGTCTCTGTCACTCTGTCTCTGGTGTTTGTGTTGTGCGTGGGTGTTTATCAGCATGTCAAGGACGAGAAAGAGAGAGCAGGGCGCCCTGGCAAGTCCAACTCAGTTTGGATGTCAGCTGGCGCGCAACTGTGGGGGCACTCTACCTTATGAGCGGCCGCTAAGAGCCCATACCCAACTTATCCGCAACGCAACTGAACCTTGGTTAGGTGGTTAGCACCCACACAACTTGGCCACCACAAATCAGATGTGCTGGGCACTGGGCGGTATCGAACACGAACCCTTTGCTTCTTCATCACCGCCTTGCCCGACGAGCCAGCCAACCACCAAACGACGTGCCATGTACGATGGACGTCACCGGCCGATGTTCTGCTTGCCCGTTTACGGCCGCCCGCCGGGGAAGGGGATGGGGAAAGACTAAGAGAAGCAGTCTTCCGGCCCCCTCCCCTTCGTCAGCTTGGTCACGCCCACTTGGCTTGTCTGACTAACAAACGGTAGATGGGAAGACTCTGCAGACTCGAGGACATCCACAAAGCCCATCTCAGCCTGTGATGGGTGAAGATTCTCTTCCTGTCCTCGAACGCATGCTGTTTCTGAAACAAGCCCCTCTCAATACTCACCCATTCCCACATCGCGTCAGCGGTAATACGCAGGAGAACGTGGCCCGGAGGCCAATGTCCCCTTCCTCCAAGTTCCGAGTCGTATCCCCCGGCAATATCGATTCGCGTCCTACCCCTCGTTCGGTGCTAGAGGCTCTGCATCTTCTCGGCCTGCGTCCGGTGGACGCGGGTAATGCCGAATGATTGACACTGGCGAGCCTGGGGATTACCTTGCCCCGTCATTCCCCTACCTGGAATATGGATTGTTCGGCTTCAGGGCCGCTCAATGAGGGACTGATTCCCTGCAGCTTGTCCTAGACGGCTGCGCTGCCCACACCAATGTGGAAGATACGGGAATAGTCACTCGTTGGAAGCAGCAAGTCGCTGCTGTCTCAACTGCGACCAAGCAAGTGCTTATCGGTCGCCGGTCGGTGAGAGTGAGGTGAGACTCGGCACTTGAGGACATCCACCTAGAAGATCGTCATCGGTCAGCAGTTCGCTGGCAACCACCGACTTTTCGTTTTCGATATTGCGGCATACTCAGTCAATCCCAGCTCCCCCAGGCGAACAGGGCACGGCCCGGTTCCATGGCTCTCCTGAGAGCGAGCTGTCACCGTTTCGACGTTTTCCGCTTGCAATATGTCGTGCTCTCTGGGCACCAGCCGTCTTCCTTGTCAGGACGTTGAACAGCTTGCTAATTTTCCTACTTTAGTTACTTTCGAGCTCTCGCGAAACCTTCGGTCGTGGCTGGCAGGTTGGTGCCAGGGTGACGGGCCGGATTAGATCCAACTGGTTGCTCCTCTCTGCACGTCGCCGCCCGTGTCGTCGTACGGCGAGGACTTCTATCGAGTTGCATCTCGCTCTAGAATGCAGCTGACCTATGGTTTGTCGTTTAGTACGACGATCAGCTTCAATAGTAAGATGGAGCAAATCCTGCCGAATCCCGCGCTCTGTGCCGGCCACGACCTCTCATATTGTCTCGATGGCTTCGCTGTCAATCACTTCATAAGGCTGACTGCACGATGCTTCATGAGACTGGGGAGAGAAACATGGAAGACAAGGTTGAAGAGGGCGACAAGGTGTTCCAAACATAACCGCAAAGCAATATGGATTCATTTGTTCGCAACAATCACATATCCCACACTGGAAGGGCCGACGATGAACAAATGCGATGCCACCCTCCCTCTGGGGCCGCCTACCACCCCAAGATCCCTCCGGAGAAGTCTCCCGCCCCCCTCGAGAAGAATTGTACTTTTGAAAGTCACAAAGGCCAGTAATAGCAACCGACAGACACAGCCAATGGCCGAATACCAAAATAACGGGAGCCGGGCAGCGAGCAACCCCCGGCCTGACTGACAAGACACGACTCTGCAGCCTCCGCTCTCACGCAGTTTGCCTGCACGACCAGACAGGGGCCAGGTTGGCTTTTTGCACCGCCGCAACATGCATACAGAGCACCGCACTGCACCGCACACACACACACACACACACACACACACACACACGACCACTTCCATTACCACCCTCCACCTGTCATTGTCCATGGGTAAGTAGATCTGCCCATCCCAAGCTGATAGTCTCCCTGACTAACACCCCCAATTCGACCATGATAGGTACTGTATTGGGTACGAGTACAATCATCAGCTGGTCCAAGATGGCCCCGACTCGCTTGCTTTTGTTTGTCCTACACGCAGATCCAGAACAACATACATACAAGCCAGTCCTCGGCCTCTGCCCATGTCTCCAGATGGCATCCATTATTCCTTTCCCCTTTGTCCTTGAACTCATTCCCCCGGTCATGGATCTCCTTCCCAGTCACGTCACTCGTTAATGACTGCAAAATATTCCCTCCCCTCCCCTTCGTATTATCATATATGGCATGTACTAGACGTGGTGAACCAATACTGTTCTTGAACTGCTGCATGAATTTCCTTTGTACGCCCAAGTCCTCGACAGGATGTCTCGGTCGAGCTTCAGCATACGGAGGCTTATCTCACCTCGCCGCTCTCAGACGATAGATGAGCGCCGTCATTCCGGAGACTCTGTTGGGAGCGAGGATATTTCACTGTTCAAGTCTCGAAGAAAACAACAGAAAGCAAAGTCTTGGGCGCCGGTCAGGCGTCCATCCAACCCCAAGCCCAGAAGACCATCGAGGGAGGAGACCCTCGTACGAAGGACACAAAGCATCAAGAGGATACCGACAGAAGGCCCATCTTGCCCACAGGGATCACCACATTCGTCGTCGAGTTCTTTGTGCAGTTGCAAGTGTAATACAGACACAGCCTCGACCAACACCAGCTATGGCACTCTTTGTTCCCCACGACTCCAAGAGAGGCCCTCTCGATCGACGGCCCCGAAACGTCTCGCCGAACGTCGACACCTCTGCATCTCCCCTCTATCACCACCTCCTAGCAGAAAGCCCAGACCACTGTCGACAGAAGCGGTCATCAAGGCTCAAGAAGCTGGCGACATAGATCTATCAGAACATCCCGCACTCAGAGAGACCATGACTCCTCCACCTACCCCAGAAGATGACGGCTTGGACCGCTGGTCCCTCAATGTCCAGCAGCTCATCAGAGAAACTGATGAAGCCTTCAAGGCCGTAGGAACAGCAATCGAAGAAGCGAAGATGGCCGTTTCAACTTTTCCGTCACACATCGAGACGGGTTCCGGGTCTACATCACCACCCCCTCCTAACATGGCGAAGCCTGACTCACCAAGCCTTCCATTGTCGGGGCTACAATCTCGAAACAGCACCCCAGCGCTACCCCCTCCATCATTGAGCACTTCGTTATCATCTGCTTCGAAGCCGAGGAGAAACAAGTCAAAGAAATCCAAACGGGTCAAGATGAGATCCAAAAAATCTGCCCGATGGCAGCTGGGAGAGGATGTAGCCGACATCCTTACCGGACAGTTCTTCCGTAAAGTAGAAGTCGATGAGCTTCTCACACCGGACCGTCTTCATGCGCTACGAGTGGAGAGGGAGTCTCAGGGACAGCCGCGTCGATCGAGCGATACTCTGAGGACTGTAAGCACCGATGGAAGCGAGACGCCCGTTGAACCTTTTCACCTCCAAGACCTCCTTTCTAGGATTGGAGCAGCCGGGGCAAAGACCTCCATCACGCCTTCTGAGGCCATGACTCCACCCGAGCTTCTCGACTCAAGTGTACTACGAGACTTGCCTTTCAAGGAAAAGTCGCCGCGGAGGAAGAAGCCTGTATCCAAGGATGAATACGAGGCTGAGGATCCGACGCAGGCTGTTCCACCTCCACCAGCTAAGAACCCAGCGAGATTTCTCCCCAGACCGCAGGCGCCGCTGTTACCGACGATACCTGAAGTAGTCGTCACCACCCCCGACATGGGAGGCCAATCAGCAAAGCACAGCAACAGGACTGCACGAACATTCGCACCCGTTGATGAAGACGATTTTATCTTTTTCCAATCAACGCCATTCACGTTCAACCATTCCGCCTTCAGACACGGCAACATACGTTTCCCCAAGTCAGAAGTCGTCAAGGGGCTGAAAATTGATCCCGATGATACGCTCGACTGGACCGCCTTCCAGATGGCCATCCTCGGCGGCGCGGGCGACCTCTTCTCAGACCCCGCAGACTTTTCACAGAGAACGGAGGTTGAAGAGACAGCCGACCTGACAGCGTGGTTCGACGGCTTCGGCTTCGAAGGCTACGGTCGTCTTCTCACCAGCGACGCCGACGAGCCGACGAGCCGGCTGCAGCAAAGGTCCCGCGCGTCTACCGTGGACTGCTCGCCAAAGTCCTTTGGCAGAGTCTCGCGGGACAGTGAGCTTCCCATACCCGTGAAGGCCGAGCACCCTACTGGGTTCTGGAACGAAGGCAATGTCAACGTGTCCAAGTTCCTGACGCAAGGGTGCAACATTCGACGATGGACGATGGAGGGGCAGCAACAGCATCCCAAGCGGCAGAACCGGGAGAGCATCGGGAGCTTGCCGCCTAGTCCGATGATGGATCTGGTCATGATGAGGGGCTCTGATGGGGAGCCCGAGGTTGTACCTATGGGATACAATTTGGGACACGACCTCGGGGACTTCCTGCGCTGGGAGGCGGAGAATGTCTATGCTACGGGCATTTACTGAGCGGCGCGAATTCAGGATTAGAGTAAAAATTGAATCCCTAGGTATCTAAAGTAGTATTGTAATGTTACAACCAACTTACTTACCTTGGATGGCGTGTGAATCCCTCTCTCTCTCTCTCATTCTTTGTCTGTACCCTACGGAATTCGACACCTCCTTTGCCTAGAAAGATTACTAAAGTGAACTGACGTCTATCAAACAGGCACCAACAATTCAACATCGTAACGTCGCAACGAGATGGATATTTCGAACCCCCTAGGGCTGACTTGCATACAGTTACGGTACCGCCCTTCTCCCACCTGCACAGGGGCCTGGGCGACATCCAACGCCGCCGAGGCCCCCGCCTGGGCCGGAACAGTGGACTCAGCTCACTGCAGCGAACGCCGGCCCCCAGGAGAAAGGCACCCACGCATCCCCCCACCACCACCACGGATCGCCCCGGCTTGAGCCTTGACCCGCCCGAACCATCCATGTTTTATTTTTCTCTTTTTTACGCGCGCGCCGTCGCCTGTCCCGCCCGGGTCGCGCTGAACTCTAACGAAAGAGGAAAGCCAAAATCACAACGACTCTCAACTTGCATATCAGCTCCACGACATTTTATCAGCTACATAGAGAGAAACCACGCACCCCCCACGATCCGGTTCACCGAGTTTACGTACTTCTGTACCTTGTATAGCATCGCATCCCGTTGCATCCCGTTGCAGATTTCCGCCTCCTGGCCCCATTGTCGTCTTCAGCTGCCCCCCGTGCCGCGAACTCACTCAACACTTTGACGGACTCATCCGACGACGCTCACTCATCACTCATCACTCATCACACACCCCACAACTCTAGGCTAGCAATTATCGCCTCTGACGAACTCTCATTCCTCCCGAATACAACGCTGCTGAATCCTCAGCTCCGAGACGTCAATCTACTACCCTTCATCCCGAAGAAAGGATTGATCCAGGCACCCCGTCTTCTCTTCCCGCCAGGCTACAGCTCCATCATCCACCGGCCTCACATCACTCATCATATCTCATCACACACACACGGCGTCCTAAAGCATCTCCCGCCCCCACAATCCCGCGCTCAATCCACACAAGTGCCTGTCACTCACTCATTCCTTCACCTACTTACTCGCCCCTTTGAAACCCCCCTGCCTCATCGCACATCTCCGGTCAACAAGAACCGCCGGTAGGAAAGGCCGCGCAGAACAGAAGCAGAAATTCACCGGCCCCATCTCACACACATACACACCCAGATCATGCTCCGCCGCCCCGCAACAACCCTCGCCATAACGGCAGAGGACATCGCCTCCTACGAAGACCGCCGCGCCCGCGAGGCCATCGTCCGAGAACGGCAGGTCCTCGTCCAGGCCCAGCAGCAGCAGCAACAACACCAAGCCGCCCTCGCCGCCCAACAGCAGCAGCGGATCCTTCAGCAACAACAGGCACAGCAGCAGCAGCATCCCTTCTCGTCACCCGTACCGCAGCAGCAGCAATCCTCGCCGCAGCATCATCCCCAGCAAAGGTATACGCAAGCTCAGATCCACCAAATGCAACAAATGCAACGCCTCCAGCAACAGCAGCAGCAGCAGCAGCAGCAGCAGCAGGGCCCAGATGACGATAGCATGCTTACGGCAGACGTCGACGTCGACGAAAGCTTGGAGTACGACGAGGTGCAACAGCGGGAGCTGCTCAGGAGGCAACAGGAGATGATGAGGGCGCAGAGGGGCCAGAGCGGGCGCGGCGGCGGCGGAGTGCAGACTACGCCTACGCCGGGGGATGGGAGCCGTGGGGGACGGACGAGGGAGGAGAGGATCGGTGTTGGCCGGCGTGGGAGGTGAAGTGAGTGTCGCTCGAGAGTTGTGGTGAAGATATCGTTGAGGGGAGAGTTGTGACATACCGGCTCACTTGTTGTTGGAAAATGGTATGTTTGGCGCTTAGGGAATGCTATTTCTCCACTGACACGCCTTGAATGCGGTTCGTCACGTTTGCTTACCTTGTCTCCTCTTTGGAACTAGATTGAGGGAGAACTTGGAACGTCACGCTTGGGATACGTCTTGGGCAAAGTATGTCATCTGTAACTTTCTGAGGGATCTCAGTCTTCTGGATGGGACCGAAACGTGAATCCTAAATCAAACTCATGCCAATCGTCGTCAAGTCGTGCCCAGTCATCTAAGCTCAACGCTTTCATACCCTATCCGGCCCGCCTAAACCCAAGAAAGATGCCAAGAGATACAAAGAGACCAATCCCACGCTTCCCCGCTTACAGTTTACGAAATTGGAATGAACGAGACATGAAACGAGCGCTTGATGATGTAAAACAAACCCCCATAACCCAGAAAGACGTAAAATAACATGTGTCCTTTGAAAGCCAACACCGCGCGGGAGACGGAGCCTCCAGAGGCCGCCTCTCGGATGATGTACACCGCACCAAATGCACCTTTGGCCGTAACAGTCATATATGAAAACGTTAAAAAATCCAAGGAATGTAGTAGTCGCTGACGCTGGCGCTGCAGAATATGTGGTTTAAATGAAGGAGATGGAAAATTGAAAAGAGTCGCTGGTCTCGTCTCGCTGGAGGATGGAAATGACCGTTTCATCTCGTCTGTACGTGTGTGATATCAAAAGGGCATGCTAAGCAAGGCGTCCGCCCCAGAAGATGAATGGACGCCAGATCTGCGGTCTCGCTCGATTTCTCGAGACGGAGAAGAGATGTCGTGCATCTGTCACGTTCGTTAGCAATCCTCAGTGCTCCCGAAACAACTTCTACTTACGTTGTAGAAAACGTTGGCCTGCCTGATTCCGGCGACCTCTGCCAAATATTTGAGACGTCCCCTCAGGAAACGTCTCTGTCTGGGAGTCGCAAAGTCGCTGCTGCAAGCCGTGACCATGGGCCACAAAACCATTAGTCCAGCAGCACCCTTCAAGGGGTCATCTGGCTTGGTGTTGCCGCAGGGGAACTGAGCTACAACCACGCCGTAGCCATTCCACTTGCAAAAGAATGGGGTCGAAGCGATGGTATCTTCGATACGCAGGATAGCCGAGCGCTTCAGCTCTTCATACTCCTCTCCCATCCGGTAGTCATCGGGAGAAACAAGCCAGGCCATGCACCGCAGAATTGTTGTGGTGAGCATCAGATGGCAACACCATGTGGCGACGTGCAAAATTGCGAGAGGCAAGTTGAAGAACCCGTACACAGGCCCTGGGAACGTTGGGGTCGTATCGAGCTCGTCGTCGGATCGCTCCAGTATCCACTCCACTGTATCAACTTTCCACTGCGGGCTGGGATCGTTGTTGAGTTTGCGGAATTTGGCCTCCAACGCTTGAGCACGCTTGAGGGCATCGAGCACCTTCTGGATTGTCTCTGGCTTGCGGTCACCCGCTCCAAGAACCCGGTCAACATCTTGTCGAATTTGACTGCTCTGGATATCCATGCTAGCGATGGCGTGCTGCATACGACCACGGCATTCATGATGCAGAAGCCATGTAAATTCGGATACTTCGGGAGAGTTTGGAAGACAGTGAATGGAGAGGCACTGGTTCCGGGTAATTGCGAACATCTCTTCGCCTTCCGGTGTCTCGAGGCCCTTTTGACCCCTTAGTTTGACGATGATTGCCGCACCCTTCATATGGTTGGTGTACTCGGCAATAGAGTCTCGAGATGACGTCAAAATCTTTCTCTTGTCAGTATGAAGTTTTGTCAAATGTTTACACTAGCAGACCCACCTCGTAGAAAGCCAGCATAAGCACGGCTCCAAGAGTTTGGTCGTTCAGCACCTCTCCTGGGTCCATTATGGCTTTGTTAACGGCCCGGACTGCCCTTAGATAGTGACCCTGAGCATGGAACAGAGCGGCACTTGCATTTACCGTGCGGCGGCTGGCCAGCGCAGCCAGAGAGACAGCCTTGTAAGCTTGGGAAAGACATTTGGAGACGTTCGTTCCGCTCAGGAACCGAGGGAGGAACCGGTAGTACCCTCGGGCAGTGGGAGTAAACGGGACAATGATAAATTCCGAGAGGAAGTAGCAAGAGGCCTGCTCATCCAGGGAGTTAAACATGGACGCCGGAATGTCTTCGTCTTCTTCGGTCGTATCGTCGTCATTGTGGTAAGGGAAAGCGGCGGGATTCGAGTAATCAAACGTTTTGTATTTCGGACCAGCAACCGTCTTCAAGCACTGCTTGTTGCAAACGGGCGCGATATCCTTGCCTTCTTCGTCAGAACTCTCTTCCCCTCTCGACTTTTTGAATCTCTTGATGGTCGCTTGCGTTTCGTCGCGGATGTTGGCCTCGAACGGATCTCGGTAACCTGGACATTGCCGCCGCGACTTCTTGCATCTCATGCAGAATGGCTTCCCCTCGTCACACTTGATCCTCCTAGCTCTGCACAGTTTGCAGCCGCCGGAGGGCTTTCCCGTGTTCACCATAGTCGAATTGTGCAGTGTTGGCACTGCAAAGCAAATCTGTGGAACAGAGTGTAGGAAACCGTTCCGAAAGTGAGCTGTGAGGGGTCAAGCTCTTTTTCACAAGTTTTCGGAACAAAAGCATAAAGTCCCGAGGCCGATTGTCGAGTCACAACAAGAGAAGACACTAGAGAGAGGTAGCGGGATGGAGGGGTAGAAGCTCCTATGTCATAGCGATGAACCACATATCCTTCATTGAATACGGACCTCTAAGGCTGAACCAACATGCTGTATGCCTGCTCGGAGAAAGAACAGCGGAAGGGCTGGATCACCGATGGGACGCTCTACGAAACTCTGTGGCAGCAACTTGACGCGTTGGCAAATAGCAAGAGCTCAAAATGATCAAACGGTACCGCGCTGTTGGTGGAGGGCGATCTCGGTGGTCTTAGCATTGGGCAGCTTGTAGCCTATCTTTCGGAAGGTTTGTTTCATGCACCGCCGAGCGCTGACGATTCCTCGATGTTGGTGATCAAGGGTGGTCCCATTCGCTCGTGCGCACATTGTTTGAGACGGCAAACGGAATGTACCGTGAGAGGTGAACGAAAGCTGGGGTCCTTGTGTCGATCATGTAGGGAAGAACCCGGCTCTTCGGCAAGCCGGTCGATGGATGGCACCTCAGACAGGTGTCAGGGACTGCGTGCGCGTATGTGCTCTGCATCGTGATGGTGGCCTTGTAAGGCACTTTCACCGACTGCCGTGCGAAAGGTTTGTGTAACGGGCCACTAGAAAGCCGTTGAGAGTACTGTCAATCTAAAAAATCAAACGCGAATGGTTCATACCAAGAAGTCGGCAAAGTCTGATCGCAATGACGCGCCGCCGTTGGTACTGATTATCACTGATTATGATTCAAGGGTTCTTGATCTGGCATCCTGCGCTCGGCTCCGACTCCGGCCCCAGAATGAAAGCAATCATATTAACGGCAGATAGGCTGTCAGCATTGAAAATGGCGGATCTTTGAATTCCGTGGGGCTGAGCACGTCAACTTGCAAGCGGTTCTACACTTTGCGGGCCGCTGGCGGGCTAATTAGTCCCTCGATATCATGAAGCAGGTTCCTTCAGTCGACAGGGTTCCGTTGCTACTAATGAGTCGAGTGGCAGACGTAGGTCAGTGTTTGCTAAATCTTCAGTTCCAACGGCCTGGTTGTCGGGTGGTTGTCCACACACACGCAACACTTGACGGCGTGAAGCAGATTTGGCCATTCGTCATCGTGGCTGATGGGATCGTTTCATCCGATCGTGGGTCTCCCAATGAGGAAATTCCGTCGTGGGTGTCGGTCTTCACGACGTAGAGTCGAAAGTCCTGTTAACTCTAGTGATGGATAAAGGCTCGAATCGATATCACGAAGTCCGTGGAATGATACAGAAACCCTCTCGGCATCTTGTGGAGTGATAGTTGTCCAATCTGACTAGTGCCGTGGTAGAATGCCGACGCATCTTGATCCACACGAGTACGTCGACTTGATCTGGCGAACTTGATCATGGTGATGCCCGAAAGAGGTAAATCCCGGGCTATCAAGAGCCTTGGGGGTTTGGACACTCGTTTTTATGTTTTTGTTTTTTGGACGTCTTGGGCAAGTAAGGATGATTATTGAGGTTTCTGCTATGGCAGGTGTATGCACGGAGGACATGACACCAACTTGCCGTCCTTGCTTATATAAACCGTACTAAACCAAGCGAGGATCATCCATTTGCTGCTCTCTTGTCTTCAGTGGATCCCTACGATGATCTTCGGATCTACCACTTCTCCACTTCCAACGTCTGGGAGACGGCGAGCTTATTTCTGACCTCAACAACCTGTCACCTTTCGTCCATCTCAATGGTCGGGATTGGTCGCTGACCTACCTTAACGGTATACTGGGATGGTCTCGCATACTGACATGCATCAGACTACGCACTGATGCAGCAACTCTCTCAATCTCGTCAATCCCGTATCCCGTATCCCGTATCCGGGGCTGTCAACCTGTCTATGCCGTTTGACATCTGTACAGTATGAGTTTCTTACTCGAGGGTCCGAGGGCGGGTCTCTAGCGCGCTACTTATTTCATCAAGGAGATGTAGCGAGAAGTCTTTGCCAATGACCAATTGATAGGAGAACTGTCGAAACGCTGAGTGGGATGGGGCCCGATGGGCAAATAAGCACCACAGAAACTACCTGGCTACATTACAACTCAGCGTGAGACTCGAGTGCGACCAAGATCGGCGAGTGCAGACAGCTGCGATCTAAGGTCACATATCAACGGTAGCCCCGACGCCAAGGCACCTATCAAGTTCGTTACGAGGAACTCGCACATGAACGACCCACCGGCGGGGTTCAAGGTCTTGGAGGCCCAAGTCCTTCTACCGGCTATCATTGTCAATCTGCCAGGGTCGTGGAGGCTTATGAGGGTGCGCAAGGTTGCCGGGACTGTCTGAGCTTAGGGATCCATGGCGGCCTTCTCCGGCCTTCCATATCACGGCACCCTGTTGAACCGGCTTTTCGACGCGTGTTTTCAATTGGGAAATCGTGTCGTTGGAAGAAACCCGAGCATCTCCGGTTCAGATCGTAACACTATCCTTGCCTAGTCAAAATTCGTCACAGGGAGCGAAGAGTGAGCTCTGAGAGAGCATTCCTGCTCCTGGAAATTGATGTTTGGTACTGTGGCCAAACCTTTTTCGAGTCAAACTTCGGGACTCGCCTAATGGACTTGACTTGTCAGAACGCCGCCGGGATGTGTGGACAATTTCGCCCACAGGTCAACTTTCTCTCTGACAAGTTTGACACTTAGTTTTGCCCACCGACGCCTCTGCATCTCTCGGCAAATTTGACTTTGATTATACTTTCCATAAATTGGACGATCCTGCTAGAATCTAGCCAACGAGGCGGCCCGACAAAAGATCTGGGGAAATATGCCAGTTCGTCGAGAAATCAATTTGCGGCACTGAGGCTAGCGACCCGTCATTTCTTTCAAACGAACAGCATTCGCCTGCTTGACACCATGAAGCTATATCATCGCTTTCACCATTACCCTGCTTATATTCGAGGAGCGGTACTCATCAGGCCCCAAGGCTCTCAAGAACGCCCAGCCAGTCAGACCACGCCGTTCGGATGTTGGGCAAAATTCACAGCGGGTGCTCACTATTCCGGCCCTTCGGCTAAGCGGCTGTTTGGATATCTAGCTGGCAGGGCGATCCCATTGACTTTCCGGAGAAGCGGGCCTCGACGTCGTTCCGAAAGCGACTTTTTGAGAACTCCTGTCATTTCTGAAGCTTCGACAACTATTATTACGGTGTGACTTCAGTATGAGTAGCATCTTCCATACAATCACTTCATCAGACACCACTTTTGACCCGAGAAGACGACACATCGTATCTGGTGAATCGCTCAAGTCTCCGCTCGGTGAATTCTCCCCTGTCCCTGAAAAGCCCGAGCTGGTCGCCTTGATGCAAATCCCCATTTCTGATCTAGCAGACCAATCACCTTTGGTCATCATACCGACTCGGAGATAACCGGCCACAAGTCGGGCGTGTGCTTGCCTCAATGTCGCCTGGGCGCAGAAGATCAGGAGATATATCAGCACCGCCCAAGCTCTCCTTCGCCCAAAATACCGACGTAGCCAAGTCACAAGATGCTGAGGGTGATACTCGGGTGGATCCGGATGCGAGAACGATCAAGCAAGTCCGACTTACCCAGAGAGAGGATTCGGCGGCGCACTATCCTAGATGCTGCTCAGGACGTTTGGAGGGGTGGAATGGCATTACTTACAATGGCGCAAGCCGCTAATTGCTGGCAAATCTTGTTCTGACCGCAGGAATCTCCAGATTCTACCTCATGACTATCATTTGGCATCTCCTCTCCTTTCGCAATCGTTTACTAAGGCATGTGTGGGGGAAAACAAGTGCATCACGACTTTAAGGTGTTGACCAGTGCACCGAATCCTTCGGCCGGGTTAGGCCCCACAACGACCCGAACGTTATGCCGGTCAGCCTCCCGCTCCCTTCGGCATAATATTTCGGCCGACGCACCTGCTATTAGCACGTAAGGTACGAACGAACTAAACAATTGCGCAAACAACACCACACCCGTTCCTAAGCCGGCGCTTAATCCGGTCGTACAGACCCAGCCGGACTACTCTCATGCCTTGCACTTTTGCGGACTTGGCTCCTCGGCGGCGGAGAAATCATAACTTGCTCGGACTTTGTGTGGATGGTGAATCAGTACAGACGTAATGATAGGCCGGCCGGCTCGCACTCGGCCGTCCATGATGCCATTCACGGCGCCCTATCAAAGTGACCTCGACGGTGGTTGAGCCGCATCGGCATAAGGCTTCCCAACGGAGCGGGCCTGTTGGGTGAAATTTCACTTATGACCAACCTAGCCTTGGCTTGGGCACATTGAATGTCATATAAGGCTATGGGAAAGGCCCTTCACTGATTCACGATATCATTTAAAGAGGACTCATCTTGTTATCACAGTCTAATAAGAAAATATACAGCTGGCTTAAGTCAAGTTAGATCCAGTTTTGACCCTTTTTGACCTCCTATCTCGAACACAATCACACTTCTCCGAATGTCTACAATACAAACAGAAACACCAGCAGTGGTACTGGAGAAACAAACCACCCAAATCGACCAAAATGGCAAAGTCGTCTTCAAACCCTCACGAGAATTCCTCCTCGCCTTCAGCGCCCTCTGCGCCATCGCTCTGGCCGTCGCCTTTGACGCAACAACCCTCTCCGTCGCCCTCCCAACAATGAGCCTCGCTCTCGGCGGAACCGCCCTCGAGGCCTTTTGGTCCGGCACGAGCTTCCTCCTCGCGAGCACGGTGCTGCAGCCCACCGTCGCCGGGCTCAGCAGCATCTTTGGGCGCAAGGCCCTCGTGTACGTCTCGGCTCTGTTCTTCGCCGCGGGCTCCATCGTCGGCGCCCTCGCCAACGACTTTCACGTCGTCATCGCGGGACGGACCATTCAAGGTGTAGGCGGCGGCGGGATCCTCGCCCTCACAGAGGTCATCATCACGGATCTCGTCCCGCTGGCGGTGCGGGGCCAGTGGTTTTCGCTCCTGTCGGCCGTTTGGTCCGTCGGTACGGTCACTGGGCCCCTAATCGGCGCCGGGTTCGCGCAGAATATCTCGTGGAGGTGGATCTTTTGGATTAACCTCCCCATCATCGCCATTGGAGCGGTCATGATCTTCTTCTTCCTCAAGCAGGCCAAGGTGCCCGGCCACATTGGGACGAAGCTCAAGAAGTTCGACTGGCTCGGGAGCTTCTTGTTCACGGCGGGCTCAACGAGTTTCCTGTTTGGCATCTCGACGGGTGGTGTCATGTATGAATGGGCCTCTTTCAGGTGTCTGCTGCCGATGATCATGGGCGTCTTCATTCTTGTGACTTTTGGGTTCTGGGAACTCAAGTTTGCGCCGGTGCCCATGATCGACAAAGGTATTTTCAACAACTGGACCATGGTCGCCAACTATATCATGACTGTTTTCCATGGCATGATTCTCTGGTCGATTCTCTACTTTCTTGGTAAGCAGTTTCTCTTTCCTCCCTTATCTCTATCCCTTTTCAAGAGACGGCCACAAACTCACTCTTCTTTCACAGTCCTCTACTACCAAGCCGTCAAGGACTACTCCGTCGTCGTGTCCGCCGTCGCCGCCCTCCCAGAAAGCCTGACAGTCGCGCCCTCCGCCATGGCCGTCGGCCTCATTGCCGGCGTCACGGGCCGGTACCGCTGGTCCCTCTGGGCCGGCTGGGTCATGATCACCTTTGGAGCCGGGCTCATGTGCCTCATGCGGCCCGACACCTCCGTCCCCGCCTGGATCTGGCTTAACATCCCCATCGGCCTCGGCACGGGCATGCTCTTCCCCGCCATGGCGCTCTCGATCCAGGCTGCATGCGAACCGGCCCTCAACGGGCAAGCCGCGGCCTTTTATTCTTTCTTGCGTACGTTTGGGCAATCCGTCGGCGTCGCCGTCTCGGGCGTCATTTTCCAGAATGCGTTTCGCAACAGGCTGCTCGATATCCCCTCTCTAGCTCACGTTGCGGAGGAGTACTCGCGCGACGCGACGATTGTAGTCGAGGTGATTAAGAGGATGCCAAAGGGCGACGCTACGAGAGCAGATCTGGTGGAGGCATATTGCGATGCGCTGCGGGCGATTTGGATCAGCTTGATTGCGTTTGGCGGGTTCTGCATGCTCATCAGCGTGACGGTCAAGAAGTACAGCTTGGAACAGGAGCATGTCACAGACCAGAGATTGGTCACGAGCGACGATACGAGTAAGGAGGACGAGGAGAGTCAGGGAGGGGATCTGGAAAGGGGGCAGAAGGTGAGGTCTTGAGATGGGTTTGATTCCCGAGGAGGAACAGGTGCGAGAAGATGTTCTAGATGGATTCTATCAGTTTCAGAGCTGGAAATCGCCTCTCCTTTCACTTAAATATCCTCAATGAGGACTAGATATTAGACGCCACAAGGGGCTGGGTCTTGAATATCAGACTTCTAGAGATTTGGACATGGCCTAGAGAGGGCATACTCCAGATCTTTCTTATAGCTGTTTTTAACCTAATGCTTAATGATAGAGTTAGCAGAAGCATTCTGCCTAGCCTCGTCTCACGATACTGCCTTCCAAGTCTTTGAGCGCTCCGTTGAACACAATGGATCCGCGTCCCTCGATCGTGAGAAGCCTCTCAAACGCAAAAGAAGGGCCTAATTCCAATTTTGTGCCCTATGTTCCGCCTCATTCCACCGGTCGTACCTTTCGAGTTCTTTCTCTTTCTACTCTGTCCTTTGACCGCTCTCTTTTTCACCCTCAAAAAAAAAAAAAAAAAAAAGGCAGGTGGTGATCAAAACACCAACTAGAAGCTCAATCAGTTGCTTCAAGGGCAAAAAAACAAAGTGTGATTCACTGTCGCCTTCATTTCATCTTGTTCGTGGTCGGCCAGTCTTTTCCGAATCCAAGGTCAGGCGATTCTAGGTATGTGGGAAAACGCATTATTTCCAGAGAGGGAAGCAGCTTACAACTTCTAGATTTTGCCAGCCTTCACCTCGGCATTTGCCCACGATAGCTTCACCTTGTTCACTTTGTCCATTTCAAGTAAAACACGAAACACTTTGCCTACCTACGAAACGTTCTATGAAGAAGATACAGGGTCAGCATACGAAACTAGGCAGTCAAAGTCAAGAAGAAGAAAAAAAGTGTTTTGATTCACCAAACAGGACCCCCTCGGCCCTCGACAAAAAGTACTGTAGCATATCTTACATACACCACTACCCAAGATGTGCCGTCGCATCTACAAATACTACACAGCCTGCGGCTGCATCCTCAACGCCCTCTTCTACCACAAGTGCACCCACGGCTCGGCCTCGCCTCTCTGCAAGGAGGAAGACGGCATTGTCACCCGCGATGGCGAGACGTGCCCCTACCACACCCGCGTCGCTCGCCAGCAAGCCCGTAGCCGCCGCCGAGCCAACGGAGGAGGAACGCAAGGCTCGGAGAAGAAAATCCGCACGTTCATCGAGAATCCCCTCACGATCACCGGCGCAGGCGAGGGTATCATCACCACGAAGCTCGAGGACCGCCACCAGCTGGGTGACTTTCAAGTCTTCATCAAGGATATCGACACGTTCCTGAAGAAGCTGGCGGAGTGCCAGAATGGTACTCGGACTGAGACTAAGATCGAGACCCTGGCCGAGTCTCAGCTTCAGCAGAAGTCGAAGAAGCAAGAGGGAAAGAGCAACCAGCAGCTCAAGGACAGAAAAGTGAGCCGCGAACTCCCCCCCCTCGCCGGCTGCTCAGACTGGACCGACGACGACGAGAACGACAACGCCATCGCCCGGCGCAAGAGACGCGACCGCCTTAAGAAGGAGTTCCGCGCCCTCGTTCGCGAAAATGACAATAACAAGAAGCTCTTTGACGCGAGCGACATCTTCATGAGCTCCGACTGTGGCGATGACGATGACGCCTCCGACAGCAGCAGCAGCAGCAGCAGCGACTCGGACCCCGGTGATGCGTATCCTTCGCCGATGAGCATGAGCCCGCACTATAGCAATTACGGCGACGTCTTCGAGAGCGACGAGTCGTCGGATGCGGATGATATTCATCCTTCGTCATCGAGCCTGAGCCCCGACCATGGACATGTCAGCAACGTCTACGAGAGCAGCAATGATTCGATTCACGGTAACATGCAGTCCTCGATTGCGGGCCAGGCTCATTGCAGTGAACCCCTTCCGGCGTTTCTCTCATGGGACACGCCTCCCGAGAACTCTGAGAACATGGAGGAGGATGAAGAGACTGAGCATGAGGCTGAAGATGAGCCTGACTACGATAGTCACGACTCGGATATGCCTGATGCCGATGAAGACAATGGAGACTACGTTCCGGAGCCTACCTGGCCTCCCACTGGGGTTGAGTGGACCTCCAAGCTCAAGTACATGACTGGAATCCCCCGCCGCGACTATCGATGATTGGAACAGAAAGGTATCTGACCCGAAGGGCTTTTATTGACGGAAGAAACTGAAGTTGCTTGGAGATGAAGAGAGTGATGATGAAGTGATGGCATAGCGAAGTCAGTGGAAATAACGCCAGAATGGCATAGGCGTCTTCTATGTATACCTAAGCTGTCACCTGTATTGATCAACCAGAAAAATGGTACAAATCGCGAGCCGCTGTAGTGATATCATGTCTCATTGCCCTGTGTGCACTCTTTCGGTAGAGGAGCCAGGTGTACATACGTGGAAGTGGAAATGCCGTTATGCCCCAGCTAAATTACCCATCCAAAATTCAAAACTCTCCAAATCGCTCAAAACAACCCGCTAACCCCTGTACGCCACATGATGGGATCAGTTCCGAATCGGCGGAGCTGGGTATTGTCGCCCCCCAACGCCAGAGATGACCGGGCTTCCCCCGCGCTCTCTCCACCGCTTTCTATCTCTATCGTCTCTCAGTTCCCGATCGCGGGGATCTCGAGGATCCCATGGGGGCTCAGGCCTTCCTCGCATGCGATCCACATCCGCATGGCTACTCGTTCGGCGTGTCGCTTCAGGCCGCACGACCGGCCGTTCCCTTCGCTTACGAGCCTCCATATCTTCTTCTCTCTCCCAGTTCACGACGCGATCACGGTCACGCTCGCGTTCTGGATCCCTGTCACGATCTCTCTCTCTTTCTCTTTCACGTCTACGGTCTCGGTCTCGACCGCGATCTCTCTCCCTGGCTCTCTCCCTTTCCCGTTGCTCTCTTTCTTCCAGTTCCCTACGCTCTCGGGCTTTGAATCGGCGGCGGCGCTCTTCTTCCGAGTCTGAAGCTTCCGAGTCCTCCGATGCAATATCAGGCCAACTGCGGTTGAGCCTAGAAGAAGGTAAGTGCTCTCGGCTTCGGCGAGATGGTGGATCGCTTCGACGACCGGAGGTGCTTCGATGTCTTTCTGGTGATCGACCAGTCGGAAGAATGGACGCCACTTTCTCGCTGATTTTCTCCCTGATGCCATCTACGACTGGTATACTACGACGTCTTGCATCTTCTGGTCTTAGGTCCGCGCGATGTACGCGAGTGACAGGTGGCGGCTGGGGTACCGAGGGAGCACCCATGCGTCGGAAGCCGGGTGGTGGCGGCTCGTTTGAATGATGTGTATGAGGCCGACGTTTAGATCGTGGACTCGCCGCGTCCTCGGAATCAGACGTTGAGGACGAAGAATAGTGTCGAGGTTGGCTGTGCCGGCGGGGTTGCATGGGCGGTCGGTTAGGATGCAAGTGCTCAGCGTTGGCGTGCGGATCCTGTGGAGGAGATGGGTAGTCAGAAAAGCTACGGCGTCGCCGGTCATCAGGAGAGTTCTGTCCTCGGAATCGATCTTGGTCTGGGTTCCTCTGGGGAATATTGAGGCGAGACGGGGGGTAACGATTCGCGGAGTGACCCCCAGGAACATGACTGTAAGCAACTGGTGGCCGGCCTGGCGGAACGAAGTAGTCTGCTTGAGGGCCACGAGGCGGAGGCGAGGGCTTTGGTGATCCCTTGGGAGGGTAGGGATTTCGGACGTGCACATATGCTGCCTTCACTCTCGGCTCGTCTCTTTCTGTTGGGCGAGCAGGGGCAGTCTTTGGTGATGCTGGCTCCTCGTCTGGCACTGCTGCCTTCCTCAGTTTTTCAGCGCATTTCTTGTGCCATTTCTCGATTCCGGCGTCTGGTTCGCTGGGCAGAGCATCTGCGGGTAGATCTGGAGGAAAAGGTTCGCCCGTTTCGGGATGCTTCAGGTTCCAGCTCTTGACGGCCTGCTGGATGAAAGGTACATGTTCCTCGGGGCTCAGCAGTATCTCGATTGACTCCCATCGAACGAAGCCACGAAGGGTCAAGGCTGGGACGGAAGGGGCGTCGAAATCGTTGTCGGAGGGTTGCATGGAGTGCTGGCAGCCGGTTACCTGCCAAATATAGGATATGGCGGGAAACGGCATATCAACGAATAGGGCTATGACGATCAACTATCAGCATGGGGTGCTTTGTACGCGGGGTGAGGATTTAGGCTTACAGTCATAGTTACCACCAACGGCCTTATAGAAGGCAGCCAGCTTTTGAGGGGTCAGTGCTTGAACATGTCTATCGCCAATATCGCGAATCTGTAGATAGGCGGGGTTCGGTTAGTATTTGGCCATGGGTGGGTGGAAGCGGGGTGGAGGAAGCCAGGGCTTGTCGCGGACGTACAATGTGTAGAGCGATGGCGCGGAGGAGGGCATCGAGAATCGGTGTTGGAGCCTTGTCTGGGCCGAATAGATAACCGTACGGAGATGATGGCTTTGGCTCGGGGTTCTGGGATTGTGTCTGGGCCTGCGGTTGGGGTTGCGATTGGGGTTGAGGATGAGGATGAGGATGAGCAGAGGACTCTTTGGAGTCGGCCTCTGCGGTCGCCGTCGCCATTCGGGGCCGAAGTCTACATCAACGGTGCGTTTTTGTGGGCAGGAATGTCCCGGGACAAAAGTGTGGAGATTGGACGGGATGGAGAAATATAACGGTTTTGGTGGCGTGTGCTGCTGACAAGCAGAGGGCTTTGGCTTCGCAAGCAGTGGCTGGAGCGAGCTGGCGTTTGGATCATGAACGACTTGGAGCTCAACTTATCTTCCAGTTCGGTCGTTGTTGAAAGGCTCAGGAAGAGTTCAAGTTGCTAGCGTGGGACTGGAAGCGCGGGCGAGGTTGAGTTGAGGGTTCAACGGCTACTAATAACTCAAGGTACTTTGGGTGCGGGCCGCCGCCACAGCATCGTCATACGAGAGACAGAGAGATGCGAGGCAGAAGTAGGCTGAAGCCAAGCCGTGAGTCAAGCCCGGATGGATACGTGCGGATGCAAGTCGAGGCTGGTAGGCGCAGGATGAGGACTCGGTCAATATGCGCGCCAGAGTAGCGAGAGGGTGCGCGCGAGTGCAGCCGGTGGCAGGAGAGAAATATCCGGGTCGAGGACTAGTGGGTGTGAAGCGTGGATGAAGGGGATGATGAATGTGTGTAGGAAACACCGTCCAAGGTCGAGCGAGAGACGAAAGCGACGACGGGAGAGTGCGGTGCAGCTGGTTGATGGAGGATTGGGCGGGCAGCGAGCTGATGATGTAACTAAAGTACTCGGACTGCAACTTGAGGTGGGCAGGGTACTTGGGCCTTGTTGTTGCTGGGGGGGTTGGAGGGGTCAAAGACGCACGCACGATGGGACGGATGGGCATTCTTTGGGGGTTCAAGGTCGCCGCCGCTCTGGGGCTTTAGGTACATTGTTTTTGTGGTGAGATGGACGGGGTACCGGGGGGTAGGTAGGGAAGGAAGGAAGGGACTCGAGGGAGGAAGGACATACCTTACCAACATACGGATACCTTGCCTTCCAGGTTAGACATGGACTTTCCATCCCGTCAGGCAGAACCGAGCTGCGGGAAGCAATGGAACCGCCTGGTCGTTCTCACCTTACGCAGCTGGGCTCTTTCACAGCTTCCGCTCAATATCCTTAAGTCTGCGCCATACTGCGGAACATGCAGCAGCGCTGCGCAAGACAGGGAAGGAGAAGGCAGGCAAGGCAGTGGCAGGTAAGAATAGCGATCAAACAGGGAAAACGTTTGGCTGTTGGGCTGACACGTGCACCCTGGCGCAGCTTCCCTTAGGTTGCGGGGACAAATTTGGGCCGGACCGTCGGCTGCCTTTCGAGAGATACATGTCTTTCCTGCGTGGTGGAGCTGTGTCTACAAGTACCTTTCCCTCACACCCAACTTCCACGCATCTCTAACCGTTAGGTACGTACCGCCTTAGGTGTGCCCTCTTCCTGTAGCTTCCATTTCTCACGATGTACCTTTACTCCTCATGGCAATCTCACTCACCTCTTCACGACCGCTAGTTGGGGACATCACCGCTCCACCCCCTCTGACTTGCATGGGCGCATATTCCTAACGAGCTACCTTACCTCTCACACACACATACCAGTCATCACCACCATCCCACGGCATCTCGATGCACCCGTACTCGGCTTGTCTGACCTTGATCTTCTGTCGTCCTTTTGGGTTCAACTCCCGAGGTTACGCCTAATTTCTCGACCATCGCGTCCCGACTCCCCACCAGCTGATCAACATGATTTGGCATCCGTAAGGTATCCCCTCCTGGGCTCCGCGCTCCAGAAGATAAGGCAAAGTGAGGCTGGGCAGCAAAACGGACCCGACTATCCAGATGATCCAGATGACCAAAGAGGCCCGTCGAAAGCGATGGATGCCGATGCCCAGTTCCCTCGGCCCCCAGGATGCAGCCTGAAAGTCTGCCCAGGTGAGCCGTCTGCTGGACATGCCCAGCTGCGATGTGCCTTGTTGCGGAGGCTGGTGCCCGCTCAGCCGCCAGCCGGCCCTAGCCACGCAACCCTCTATTCCAGAGGCAACCCGTCCAAGCCGACAGGTTGTCCCGTCTGGTCTTGACCTCTTTTACAGAAATCAAGAGAGTCTAAAGGCCAAAGGGAACCAGCAGACGCTGAGGAGGAACTGCCCAGCCACACGCCGTTGAGCTGCTCGAATTCTCCTCCATCTCATCTCTTTCCCCGCCCCTCCACCACACGACTTCTGGGAAGCTACCTTTCCTAGACTCCAGACTCACTAACCTCCAAGACAGCGTCACCATGTCCACCAACCCCGAGGCAAGTTTGCTTCCCCGGCAGGCTGGAACCCGGCGAGCGCATTTGCAAAACACCAGAGATCCGGTTCGACAGTCCACCTAATCTTTTCGTTACTCCCGCCCCATCTTCCAGACTTCCAGAAACACTGCTAGCAACCGGAAAGTGATCCGCGGCGGCGCATCGCACATCTTTACGAATACATGGCATAGTGTCTTCACCCTGGCTTACCATGGTGACTCTGCGTGTCCATCTAATTCTTATTGTTGCAGCAGCCATGTATGATGCAGTTGCAGCCAAGGTTTTGGGACACGGTGATCTGGCGGTGAGCACAAGGGCAAAAGTTACGAACAAGGCTTGCAGGGACCTGCTGTTGTACATTGCGTCGACCAAGTGCCATTTCTACCACTTCCTGACACTGCAGCAACCAACGGGAATGGGATGACCACCTGTTGTTGCACAGGCCGCCAACCATCTGCCTGGCCGGCACACCTCGAGCACTATCTTTATCTTACATGAATCTTTCGCCGTTCCGTCGCCTCGGTTCCCTGTCTATACAGAAACGATCGGCATGTCTTGGATAGAATCAAACCCTTTCATGCTCATTGGAAAGCGGTATACCACAACCCGATAGCGGCGCCTGTGAGGGAAATGATGCTTCTCACGGCGTTGAGAGCCTGCCACCTCTTTAACAACTCTGTGGTCTCGGACAGACCAAGCGTTGCGATGCCCCGTGCACCGGCCATGAGCGCATTGTTCGTTGACGACATGAAGATGATGGTGTAAGGCACGATGGCGAGACTCAAAGCTCCAGCGGCAACAAACGGCTTCCACGCAACACCCTGGTCGTAGCGATCGTATGCAGAGTAGGCCAGCGAGAGCGTAACGGCGAGCGCTACTTTTGGGCCGGTCGACGCGCCGTTCAAAAATATGTGTTGCCACAGCTTCAGTGCATGACCTGGCTCGGCGCTGGTTTGGAGAATGGCGGGGATGCTGAACATGGACAACGATGCCGCCGCGCCTGGACTAAAAATCAGCAATTGACGTCGACCACGCTGATGATGGCATAAAGAAAGAGAGTGGAAGCATGCGAGTGAAGAGGGGGGGGAGCTTGCTTACCTGCCCACCACGCGCACCCGAGGATGCCAGTAGCAGTGGCGATGGTGTTGGCCATTCCGAGTTGCGACATGTTGGTTTCGGTGGTCCTTTCTTGGGTGTAATAGTTGGTGTGGTTGGGATGACGACAGTGACTGTGTTGCGATGGCAATACTTTAGATCGGGTTGGCTCAAATGAGTCAATGTATGATTTCGTCTGTAGGGTTTCTCTCTATGGTTCTATTCTATTATGAGATGCATTTGACTTCCTGGCGTCATCCGTTCTAATATATATCGGAGAAGAGCCCGGGAAACATCGGCGGTGCTAGCCCCCGATGAAATCGGAGGAATCACGGACGACATAAATTGTCCGAAGCTGTGTTCCCCACCCCGAGTCTCGCGTGTCCGTTGCCGTCCTTGTTGCAACCTCCGTACCGTACTGGCTGGCCCCATCATGCTTCGCTCTCAAATCGTTGGAGAGCTAGAAAACTCGAGTGTGCCCCATGTCGAGGTGGTGCCGAGCCTCTCAAAAAATCTCTTGGCCAACTTAAATAAGGTAGACCAACAAGGTTTTGCGGCACCGCATCTGGAGCTGAACGCCGCAAAGTGCCCGGGGATGAGTGGGCGGTTTAATCGAACGACGCATGGTCAGTGTGAATTCCTTTCCTTGCCAAATTTCCTCATTTAATCTTCAGTGTTGCCATTCCAATTGTCGTATTGTGGTTGGCTTTTTCCTATTTTGGCGCCTCGATGCCATAGCCGACAAGCGTCGTCGTCTCGTGTGTCTTTTCATCGACTTCCGTCCAGACCTTGAGCTTTCGGAAGCCCGTCTTGTCCAAGACTTTTTGGCTGGGCAAGTTGTCCAGCTCCGTCACGGCGGTGAGAATCTCCCCGACTACCTCGGACTCGGACCCGGCCTGCTCCTCCGCGCTCTGGAACGGCCGGGTCTCCCCGACGACGGTCTTCTCAACCCGGAGCGCAGGCGCGGCGGAGCGGGGCAGAGACCACCACGCGCCGACGAAGCCCCGCAGGAACTCGGTGGCGTACCCTTTGCCCCAGGCCTCTTTACAGAAGAGGTATCCGATCTCGGGCCAGCCCAGCTCGCCGCCGGGCAGGCCGGGGCTGCTGGGGCCGATCCGCTTGACGCCGCCGAGGCCGACGAATTGACCCGTCGAACGGAGGCAGATTGTGAAATTGTAGTTGTGCGCGTCGTTGGGCGGGAGGTTGTGGTCCAGCCAGGCCTGCGTCTCGCCGAGGTCCGCGTCCGGGCGGCCGGCGACGGCCCACCTCATGACCTCGGGCTGTGAGCGCATGGCGTGCAGGGCGGGCAGGTCGTCCTGGCTGACGGGCTTGAGGATGAGACGCTCGGTGAGGACGGGCTTGCGCGTGGCGAGAGGGGGGAGGGGGAGGGTTGGGAGGGTGGTGTTCACCGTGATGAAGTCTAGGTGTTTGTGGTCCATTTCTTCTGGCATGGTTCTTGTTTCTTTCCCTTGTTTCCTTTCGTTAAATGGTTCTTCAATTTTTGTTCTCGGACTAAGAAAAGGGCCAAGTTTGTGTGTGTTTTGTTACTTCATTTGTATTCTTATCATTCTGTGACATTGTCACGAAGGATTTTTGGGCTTGAGTCATCTCAACGGGCCCCAAGTTGAATGACTATTCATGGTTGGAAGTGAGGGTCCCCCAGAGCAAAGTAAGGTACGCA